GTGCATCGCGTGACATAACTCGGGTTCTCACGTCTTGGATAAGGCTAGTAACCTCCGGATGCCAAACCAAACAATTTGGCCATTACCGAACTGTGAGTCACCTATACGTAGCTATCTTTCTCTGTCCTCAAAATTCCTTATCGGGTGATATTTCTGGTGTACACTTCATCCGAAAGTCATGAAACTTTGACTCCGATCACGATAGCTCGCGCTTTATAGAGTGGATAAACGACGCAAGCGAACGCACTCTGTAGACTGAGGGTTGTGGACGCCCTAAGAGACGAAATACCGCAAAAGCTCGCCCTCGCGGAGCGATGAACGGGTTATGGAGACAATATTTGACAACATAATCCCAAGATAGGGCTAGTCACGCGTCCCTATCTGGTCTCACGTTACGTGATTCTCCTGAGTCACGACTCGTGACTCACGAGGCGATGAGTGCACGCATGTGCATCGCGAGTCGAGTGTCTAGCTGCAACAAGAGCACGAACGTTTTAGGCCGCCAAGACAAGTTTTTTGGAACATGAAATCAGAAGTCCTGTCTACATCGACTCGTGCATCGTGGGATGCAACTCGAGTTGTCATGGACATAGTTCACAGGAGAAGCCCCTTCAGGCGCACCTAGAATTTGGCAGCAGGGACGGAAGAATCGCGTTATCCATATGGAACGGCACAGGCGACGTGTTGACAACACGTCACTTGCACGGTGTTGTCGATAAAAGTGCTTACGAGCATAATTTTAGTCTAGCTGAATCTGAAAATAAAACCCAGTGTCGTGCTATAACTGGTGTTGGACTTTGCAAAGGGCATGAAGGCACGGTGGACACTCCTACTGTTGAGAATGGGGTGGGCGAACTCCGCCTACATTCGCCTGGCGAATGAAGGAGGCGACAGGGGAGATAGACGAGCTTACATTGCCGTAATAACGGGATTATAAGGGCCAGCATCAGAGACAACGAGCCTACCTATTACGGGGCCGACAACGGGCATATTCGTATCGAGCAAGAAAGTGCCAACAGGGGGTGGTCCCGGAGGGAGAGTCGGGCCACGAGTTGAAGTAGGCCCAGGAGGTTGAGTAGTGCTGGGAGCTGTAGTAGCCGGTGAGGCCGTAGTGCTTCCACCACCTAAAATGGTAGGTCTGAATGACAGCGTTTATGTCATAAACTTTATGATCACGACAGTGAAGGACAACCAGTCTTTTGATACAAACAAAGCTCTATTACACGTTGAAGGCAATTCGGAGAAGTCGCGTGGCCGCACGCACCACATGCATACGCTGAATCATAATGTGAAACTCAAGGATATGCTCATCCTAACATCGCCTTCCATGGCTCCAAACACGTCCTTCGAATGGTTGGGACAGAATGGTTGGCGCATGCGTGGTGCGCATATCGTACGTGACACGTGAGGTCCATGCGGATCATATTGGGTAAATCATATTAGGACCCATGCTCTCTAGGACCTTGGTGCTTGCCAACCTATGAAGTTTTCTTGTACTTCACATGAATGGAATCCTGGGTGGTTGAGGTTCGACTTGCTATGCATGCACCGTTCTGATAACCTGAGTGTGATGATGTCCTCGCGAGTTTTCCTAACGCATCACTTGAAGTGAGTTACTCTTGTCCGCACTACGAGTAACTCGCTGCTACCAGACAAATAGCGTCCAGACTATCATCCATGCCTTATTTGGGTATGGATTATAAATCAAGTAAGTAGGTCAGATGACCATAATCGTCGTTCTCTTCAAATCAGTCTTTTCTGTCGACTAGCTCTGGACATGGTAATACCCTTGATGGTGGGCCAGGATCCAGTGCTCCCTCGCATGGCTGATGAGTTGGGTTGAGTGAGAAGTTTTTGTGATGCAATATGTTAGAGCCGCGCTACGCCGCGCGAAGTTACGTAGGCGCACCGTGAATCCCTGGCATCGCCAGGCTGGCAATGACAAATCCTCACTGGCATAACGCAAATCACTTCTGAAAAACTGTTATGGCCATGAATCTCCCTTTTCCCAATGAGTCGACTCACTAAACCGGCTACTAATACTGTAGCTGCGATGTGCGCATCTATCTGCGCCAAATGCATTATCCGCCATGACCTGACCAAGACATAGAAAATGACCAACACTCCAATACTCACTTGGCGATTTCTTCTCTATCGGGTTCCCCGGGGAACATCTTATGCCCTACAGGCTCCAGTTGCACTGAGCTGCTTGTTTGAGTCTAATCCCAAACACAGTCCTCCTATCCCCAGCAAAGGCGAGGTCTCGTTCTTTCCTTTTCTCTTCGGACTTAGTCTCTAACGTTTGCGCTCCCTATCTTCTGCTGAAGATTCATGGAAAGAGCGGGTGGAGCGGACATTGCTGTTCGACTTAAGTTGTGTTTCGTACTGTCATCTTGGTCAACCACATATATGCAACCGAACCGAATTGACATCGAGAACATACGTTCGATCACTGTTTTGATAGCGTCCATCCAAACAACACTCTGAGTTAGACTGAGATCACCAGAAGTGAGGTGGCAGAGAATGTGACATGAGAGCTCAATCAACGCTATGGATAATCTCATCCAGGTCTATCGGGACTTCATCCTCGGGGCTCCACGAAGCTTTCGGCGCGTATCTGAACGATTAGTATTATTATCGTGAAGTCGCGATATCAACGGCCATGAGAGCAAGCCAATGATCACGATAAGAGGTAGCATTCCAATACGAACTGACGTCCCCGAATCGGGGGCCCCGATACACAGTGCAAGATCGCAGCTCCTATCAAACTTTGGTAATCGAAAAGCTCATTACTTGGCAGTAGCCGAATGCTTATCACTAACGCCTGAGAAGTGCAGAATCCAATCTCCTTGCGTGTAGATATTCAAATAAGAATTCATCGTCTTCATGGGCACCACTTGAACACGCGCCCTGATATGCTGCGGCAACAGAGACTGAGCCTTCTCGGTATCCGCCTGGCTGACACTAGAGACCATCAGTCGATTGAATTTCGTTTTCTGAACATCCAACGGATCCCTAGAGGTAGCCCCGGCAAGATATCTGGAGCTCAGCTGTGTTTCTAAAAGTCTACCGGTGAACTCACGCAATGACGCTTCCTTGCTCAACAAACCCGGGCGAGGGATACCTGTGGATGCACGCGTAGCCTTCTTCGAAAGCAGTGATGGCAATCGCTGTCGCACATTTTATAAACCTCTTTCAGAAAATCGAGGCTCCACTGTGATTTATGAAGGAGAAAGTGTCCAGTGTTAATAATCATCTCTCGCTCGCCAGAAAATACGAAATCCTTGTTAGGATTGGGAATGATGAGCTGATTCTCAATCTTCACACTAGGGTTCATGAACAGGGAGTCGGCGTCCATCCAAAATATGTACCTCACTTTCGGTAGTGATCGCTTCAGACAACGCGAGAGGCTACTCCGGAGGATTAGAGAGCCCATGACCTTCCAGAAGGTGTCTGGCAATCAGGAGCTTGCTCCAATGGGGAAAACCGCGATCACTCCAGTTGCATTCCACCGCGAAATATCCGTACCCATGTTTTCGTGCATACCGAACCTGCGCAGACGTGACAGTGAGCCTGATAGGCTCCGTTGCGAACATGATTTCGCTTAGCATCTGTGAAACGCTTTTGGGGCCCAATCCAAGCCGATGCGATAACGATGATCTTGGCAGCATCGTCTGCTGGCTCCACCACGATGGGTTCACCTGAGTGCTCGACATATCACTGATGCGAGCTCCATCAG